AGGGGAGCGAGGAGGTGGGTGGTACAGGGGAGCCAGGAAGGGGGAAACGAGAGCGAGGTTGGGGGGGGGGGGGGGGGGGGGCGCGAGGGGGGGGGGCAAGAGGGGGGGGCAGGGGGGGGTGGGGGGGGGGGAGGGGAGCGAGGTGGGGGGGGGGGGACAGGGGAGCGAGCAAGAGACACACACACACACCCGTTAATCTCCACAGCACCCGCCAGACAGTTACACAGCCTCTCCATTCCCCCACCATCACACACACGTCGGACACAGGGATCGGACAGTTTTCCCATACCACCCCCACCCAGCGGACACCGTCCTACCTTCCCCCTCCTCCAGCGGCAGCCCACACACCCTGCGACACATGGCCATGAACATCTGTAGGTACTTGGTGAGAGTTTCATCGGTCTTCCTGTCCAACCTGGCGATGGCACGGAACCGCTCCCACTGGTACTGCCGCCGCTGAGGGTCAAACTCCACGCCGAACGTTGACACCACTCTGTAAAAGTCAGTCTCCTCCCGGCTCGTCCACCTGTCGGGGCAGGGAGACGGAGACACCGTCAGCATATCGTGGGCGGGGAGACTGCAGCAGGACAGAAACCCCCTTCCCCTCCCCTTCCCTCCCAGGGAACATCCGAAAAAGCCAGGCCCGCCCCCACCCCCTCGTGTAGGGGAGGCTGTGCGCACCAGGATGGAGCCTCACTCACCCCCAGCTCGAGGGGCACTGTCCTCCCCGAGGTGGGGGGACCAGGATACTAGGAAGGGACAGCGTTTAGGAAGACGGTCAGAGAGAGGGAGAACTTTGAGAAAGATGTGGGAGTGGGGAAGAGGCAGAGGGAGGTGGTGGGGGGTGGGGGTTTGCAGGGGCACGGAGTGAGTGTGAGGGGGAAACGGCAGGAAATGACAGAGAGAGGGAGGCACAGAGCGAGAGACAGCGAGGGGTGGGGCACAGAGCGAGAGAGAGAGGGGCACAGAGCTAGAGATAGCGTGAGAGAGAGAGGGAGGGGCACAGAGTGAGGGGGAGAG